AACCATGAAAATTTCTTGATTGTCGCAAATGGTTTGTGAACAATCCCTATCATTGTGGGGTACTACAGTAGATGCTTGTGAGCAAGTTACTGTCATTTACATACCCTGTCTCAGCTGATTTTTCAGTAGCTTTCTCCAAGTGCTTCCTCAAGAATATACAAACACATTATTGTTGAAATGATAATCTTCATGAAGCATGGCACTGACTGGTGTGTGGTATCTTTTTGCAACAGACACTGATGGGTTCGTGATTCCCAGCTTGGGGATAGAAGAAGAAGAGACAGACCAAACTAAAGTTAGCTCTCCAGAAGTAGAGATCCAAGACCCTCCTCCAAAGGTAGCTATCAGTAACTCTTAATATAAATGTCAACAAAAACCACCTAGGAGATTGCCCAAAGATTTAGCAGATAAGCTGTAAATATCCTATGAAAATGAAATATCGACATCGAATATTATAGAGTCAGATGATCATATTATAATTCTTCATGGCTAGGTTAAAGAAGAGATGACGATCTATCTTGGCCCACATGGCGCGCCACCATCACAGTCAAAACAAGATTTGAACCCCGCCAATCGTAAACATAGGTTAAAGCAAAAATTGAAGGAAGCAGATCGGAGGACCACGACGGGACGGGAGAATAAGTTGGAGAATTTGAGAGAGCTTGTAGGTGGTGGAAAATCAAGCACCAATATGACAAAAGGTTCTTCAAGGGACTGGCTTGACCCACATTGCCATGAGGCTCAGTTTGAGAAGTAATGCCCACAGAGATCAACTTAACAAAATTAGCATAGTTTTCAAGATAAAGATCTGATGGGTCGATTTGTCACGGTATTAAACGTCCTTTCGAGACAAATAATACCTTCTCTCTATATTTTTGAAAACTTGATGCCCAGAGTTTAGAACTATAATAAGTTTTGTATTGGAGCTTCAATGGTATAATTCAAGTAGTTGCTGTAAAAGCAGCATGTTTGGTGAAGCTAATCATTGAATGTTCTTAAACTTCCTAACAACAATGCCTCAATCTTACAAAATTGAATTACTCTAATCCAACGTTGATGACTTGCAACATGAAAATGGTCAATTTTGTACTCCAAGACCCTAAAATATGATGAGAATTTCAAGTAGGCATACCAAACCTCCAGGCTCTTTAACACGAGAACCTCCAAGCTCTTTAACACGAGAACCTCCAAGATCTTTAACACGAGAACCTCCAAGATCTTTAACACGAGAACCTCCAAGCTCTTTAACACGAGAACCTCCAAGCTCTTTAACACGAGAACCTCCAGGCTCTTTAACACGAGATTTTGTGGCTCGTAGGTCTACCATTTCACCTGGATTCCAGAAACTCTAAGCCAGTAGCCTTGGGCGTCAAGTCGTATTGACTCAGATACTCTGCACTGAAAAACTTGCTCAGATGCCTCATTCCACTGTCGCAAAGAATGGTAACAATAGTGTTGCCAGGGCCAATTGACTGTGCCACTTTCACAGCTCCAACGCAATTCATGGCCGAAGAGCTCCCTAGAAAGAGCCCATCATTCTTCAACAGATATCTAAGTCAATAATGTAGCAACAAGAAGAATGATCAGTATGGCTCAAATTGAAGCATAAATTACATTTTGATGCACTCTTAGAACTGTAAATTACAACCCCATTAACCCAAAAGCTCAAGAACTGAGCTCTACAATGGCCACTAACCTTGACATTTCAACGGCTTCCCTGTCTGTTCCACGAAATGCCCCGTCGAGTTTTGCCATCAAGAAATTCTGCGTTAATCTATTGATTCCAATTCCTTCAGTTATTGTGTCAAAAGGGTTCTTTAATCTTCGTCCTTCAGCCTCCTCTTTAGTGTACATAACTCCTCTAGTCACCTTGTTGAACAGGCCTGAGCCAGGAGGATCTATGAGGAAACACCTCACATTTGGATTCTTCTCCTGTTGAACAAGTATAAGACAACCTGTACAATTGCCTCGCCACGGTTTTGAGAGGACAAGGAATGCAGAGTGTTTACCTGGAGAAAATTGGAAACACCAGCCACGGTGCCACCGGTTCCTGCAGCTGCAACGAAGGCATCTATACACCCACCAGTTTGTTCCCAAATCTCTGGTCCCGTACCCTCGTAATGAGCTCGATAATTCGCCAAGTTTTCGAATTGATCAGCAAAGAAACCACCCTTGCAATTACTTGAGAAAGAGGAATCTTGGGTTTCTCCCTCATAAATGTGACCATTAATTTGTTCCTTGTCTCCCACAAATAGTTGCTCTTCTTTTTTGTTCTTCAAAGCTAGCTCATTGGCTTCCGCAGCTCTCCTCCTAGCAATGTTAACAAAGTGATCTCTGTGCGTAATTGACACTGGTCTTACCCTTTCAACATGAGCTCCAAGCGCTTCAAGTATTTGAGACTTGTATACAAGAAAGAAGAATTATTGTGAATTTATGCAACAGCTATGGAGTACTAACGTAACGGGGGATTGCAATGAAATCGAAAAATTTGTTTTCCGAGGAACTAAAGTCCATAAATGCAAAATGAACATACTTTTTCAATAGCAGCATCATCTGGAATAACCACATGGCACTTGCAACCATAAGCAGGAGCAACTGTGGCAAGACTTATGGCAGTGCTTCCAGCACTTCCCTCTGTTACTACACCACCCTCAACTAGCTTACCAGATTCTAAGGCCTACAAGAAAAACCTCAAATTAGAATAGCTAAAACAGCATGGTAGATTTCGGTACTCGCCCATGAGGACAGTACAACCTTCCTGAGTCGTGACATGTTTTTTTTAACATGGTCACATTATATGTTGATATAGGCACAAATTTATGAACATGTATCGACAGAATTAGAATATTTTGATCATAAAATAACCTAACCGTGCGGATCTATAAAGGAAAAGCACAAAGAGAACAATATCTGCTAGCGGTGGGCTTGTGTCATTACATTTTAGGATGAGTAAAAAGGATTGGGTCTCAAAAGTTGACTAGGAAATGGCCTATGGATTGGAAGTCTTTGCTTGTTAAGCTCAAGAAAAGGGGCTTTGGGTAAAGGTGATATAAAATAGATCAATGGTTGCATCCAAGATACTAAACATTCAATCTTAATCAAAAGCCTAGAAGCAGCATCACAGCATCAAGAATTTAAGACAAGGTACCCCCTCTCACCTCACTTTTTCCTCCTTTTGGGGGATGTGCCAAGTGATCTTTCTGAAAACTGAGTGAATTGAGGGATTGATGGAAGGATCATAGGTTGAACATATGACAAAGTTCATTCTCACTTTCGCAATATGCAGATAATATTACATAACTGTGAACAGATGAGGAAGCCTATGCTCAAAATTTATTCAATACAATTAGGAACTTTTAAGTTTCTTCCCAGCTGTTTCCAAAGAGCAAAAAACGATTCACCAATATTTCAACGAGACCAACATTGTAATCAAATTATCCTAATAACAATGGAAATTCTTCAGAATTCCCTGTTCATCCATCAAGAATCCAGAAGCTGCATCAGGAAAAAAGTAAATAAACTCACCTCTTCAATGATCTTAACCGCAACTCTATCCTTCACACTTCCACCCGGATTCAAGAACTCGCACTTCCCAAGAATCTGAAATCCGGAGTAAAACAAAACATCAAACATTATACGAGACACATGCAGTTCAAATAAGCAATAAATTTCACGAACTAAAACGAAACCAAACAAGAAATCAGTAAACAGAAGAAAAACTTCAATCAAATCAAAACAATTCGAGAGTCGAAGAGAGAAATGAAACTTTCCTCACAACCAGTGGCCTCGGAGAGGCTGTTAATCCGTATCAAAGGGGTGTTGCCAATGGCACCTACGAGCCCATTTGTTGGACATTTCTTCGATACAGAGAAGGATTTTGTGTTCTTCCTCGAATGATCCTTCGAATGGTGTTTGCGAAGAAGGTAAGAGAAAAGGACCATAGAAACAGAGATGGCGGCAATAATGGCGCCTGTGGCTCGAGCAGTCACAGTCCCAGGCGCCATGAAAGGTCTGTAAATTGAAATGCAGCGGAATGAGGGCTGCCTTCCCAATTATATTTAGTCGTATTTTAATTAAATTAATGGTGAATTAGTAAAAATAGTTATAAATTTTAAAATATATCTATAATACCCTTAATTTTTTTTTTAAATGACATTTTAAAAAAATTAATGTATTTTTTTTTTAAAGTATTTAAAAATTTGAGTGTTAATAAATAAAAAATTAAATCCGAATGAAATTGAGTATTTTTGAAATAAAATATTAACGAATTAAATATTTAAAACTTTAAATCTTGAATTAAATCTTCTTTAAATCTTGAATTAAATCTTTCAATTTTTATTTATTACAATAAGTATATGTGAGAATTTGAGCTTAACGGTAATTTATGTATTCATTTCCTTTAGGTCAGAAGTTAAAAATGTTCGGGATTGATTTCATTTTCATCGAGTTCAAAATTCCTTTCAAATCTAAATTTTGATTCATAAAAATCACATTTAATAATGAAAAATTAGTTTTAGATTATTAAATATTTGTTTTGAAATTATTTTAAATATGAGGAAAGTATTTTGAACAATTTTAAAATTACTCTCAAACACGTCTCTAATAAAAAAAAATTCGAAAAAAACGTTGATTTTTACCCTAAAATTTCAATTCTATAAAGAAAACGCACCTTAAACTTGTTTGATGATCATGGTAAGAAGTAATATAGTTTATACCCTCTAATATACTTTTCATTTTTATGTGCAAACCCACGTGGAATCTCACAGTCTACTCTCTTTAGGGCTAGCATTCTCGCTGGCATACCGTTCGATATCTGGTTGTGATACCATTTGTAACAGCTCAAGCTCAGAACTTGCAGACACGTTTTAAAACTTTGAAGGGAAGCCCCCAAGAGAAAACTCAAAGAGGACAATTCCTATTAGTAGTGGGCTTAGACGGTTACAAAAACATTGCAAAAACATCTTAACTCATGTCGAGGTTTCCTCGACCATCATCCTCTCTGGTTAAGATGATTGAGCAAGTGTTATATCAGATATGGACAATGTTCCTGACTGATCAACATCAAGATTCTCAAATTCGTCCAGAACAGGTGAAATGTCATCTTCAGTGATTTTCCCCATCTCCTTCAGCTTGTATATGACAAATTCTGCAGCCCTGTGGAAGTTTAAGAAGGAAATGATCAATGGAAATTTAATAAACTCCAACTCGAAAACATATGTGAATCTCGTAAACATGCTAGAGGTCTCAATAAAAAACGAATGGGTGTGTTCTGAGTGAGTAAGAGTGTAATAGCCCAAGCCCACCACTAGCAGATATTGTCCTCTTTGAACTTTCTCTTTCAGACTTTCCCTCAAGGTTTTTAAATCGCGTCAGCGAGAGGAAGGTTTCCACACTCTTATAAAAAATGTTTCGTTCTCCTCCCAACCAATGTAGGATCTCACAATGAGGCCACCAGATAGTGAAGTCTAATGAAAAGAACAAACTATGACTTACCCGACGACCCCATCATCATCGAGATCCGCAGCCTCGAGGTCCAAGACCGTCACCTTTTTACTTAGAACCCACTTCACCAGAGATTTTTTCCTTCTCTCAGTGTTTAGCACAGCAATATAAAGGAAAAACTGAGCCAGAGTGATGGAACTTATCAAGATCCAGAAAATGGCGAATAGACGCCCCCACCGGGTCGAGAAGCTTTTATCTCCATAGCCTAGCGTAGTAATGGTAGAACATACACAATAAAAGGCATCAATAAAATCCAACTCCTCTAGAGTAACTAGAAACACGGTCCCAAAAATTATGAACAAAAGAAGAAAAAGAAACACCACTATACACTTATTTCTAGCTTTATTGGTATCAATTTCTTTTGTAATGTCAAAAGGACCATTTTGGTGCATATGGAAGGCCTTAAATAGAAAGATCTCCTGCTTCTCTACCAAATAATCAGCTGCATTGGTTAATATTAGGCCAACTACGGCCATTCCTGTGAACACAAAAGCACAAGCTAGTAGCTTTGTGGAAGGAGTGTTTGGGACAAGATCACCATATCCAACGGTTGTCATTGTCACAATAGTGAAATAAATGGCATCAACTACTCCGTTGGTTTTTCCCCCTTTGATTTGGTGCCCGACAAGGTAAAAACATAAAGTTCCTATACCCAAGTACATTATTAAAACTAAGGCTACTCTTATAAAACTCGGGTGTAGATTTCCAAAAACTAATCCTGAACGTGGAACTAGCCCAGTAGCGGTGCTGGTGGTCTCTGTATGAGGAGAACCCGAATGAGGAGCACTCTTAGTGCGCCTCAATCGTCTTTTGCTTCTCGGAATATCTATTGACCTTGTTACGAAGGTATTAGATGATGTTGGTAACATTGGCTGTCTCACTTCTTGGCTACCCATTAAGATAATTCAACAAACTACCAATGGCATGAACCTGCATGACCACAATAATATTCAAAACCAAGTTACTCAGCTTTGTGATGTGTTGTTTCAGTGATAAAATCGTAATCCTCACTGCTAAAGTTCTGCCTTAACATAAATTTGCTATGCCATCATTCAGAGAACGATATGAACGAAATCACAACAGTTTCGAGGTTCTACATTAAGTTAGAGAGGCAAAAGATCAGTTAGCTTCCATTTTAATTTTGCTATGCCATCACTCGGTGAAAGGTATGAACGAAATCACAACAGTTTCGAGGTTCTACGTTAAGTTAGAGAGGCAAAAGATCAGTTAGCTTCCATTTTAATTTTGCTATGCCATCACTCGGTGAAAGATATGAACGAAATCACAACAGTTTCGAGGTTCTACGTTAAGTTAGCGAGGCAAAAGATCAGTTAGTTTCCACTTTAATTTTGCTATGCCATCATTCAGTGAAAGATATGAACGAAATCACAACAGTTTCAAGGTTCTACATTAAGTTAGAGAGGCAAAAGATCAGTTAGTTTCCATTTTAATTTTGCTATGCCATCATTCAGTGAAATATTGAACGAAATCGCATCAAGTTTCAAGCTTCTACGTTAATTTAGAGAGGCAAAAGATCAGTTAGTTTCCATTTTAATTTTGCTATGCCGTCATTCAGTGAAAGATAGGAACGAAATCACAACAGTTTCGAGCTTCTTCATTAAGTTAGAGAGGCAAAAGATCAGTTAGTTTCCATTTCAATTTTGCTATGCCACAACTCCGTGAAAGATATGAACGAAATCATAACAGTTTCAAGGTTCTACATTGAGTTAGAGAGGCAAAAGATCAGTTAGTTTCCACTTTAATGTTGCTATGCCATCATTCAGTGAAAGATATGAACAAAATCACAACAGTTTCGAGCTTCTACATTAAGTTAGAGAGGCAAAAGACCAGTTAGTTTCGATTTTAATTTTGGAAAAACTTTCGCAATTACATTCAACCAAAAATGCCAACTCCAGTTTTCTGTAAAAGCAACAAGACATCAACATTTGTGTTGATCTGCCTCAAAATCAAGCATAAAGCCGCTTCAAAATACCAGAAAAATGAAATCCAATGCCTGGTTCGTCCTCAAATACTAACAAAGAACACTTGACTGACTACACACAGAGTTTCAGAATGCAGAAGCTCTCTCCTTCTCTCAAGTTTCCCCCCTTATGAATTCCCCAATCTTTGAACTCTTTGATTAGTCTTCTTGACCAAAGTAATGAGAACCATAGTTCTTTATCGATTCTAATTTTCTTTCTAAAGATATCGAAATGTGAGAAAAACAACTAGAGTTCAAATTCTTCGGTTTTGAGGTTGAAATACCAAAATTTTCTACCAAGGACGGTGGCATTACACAACATATATATGTGTTCCTGCCTCAGAGATTGTGAAAAGAATGGTTGTCAGTCAATTCCAATTTCAAAATTAACTCCAGAGCTCAGTTCAATTGAAGTTTCAAGTACAATATGTCATATTGAGGATATAATGAATCGAATTCACAAGCGTAACTACTTCCAAACAGAAAACAGTACTGATTTCGACCATCATCCACTATTTCCACTATCTATAAAGAAAACAACTCCCAATTAACGTAAAAATCTCCACAAACGACATAACAGCGAAGAAAACAAGCCATAACAAATAATAATTTGATCAAATCGATAAACTCAGTAAAATTACGCCGTAGTAAAAATCTGTACAACAAAATGAAGCTTCAATTCGGTTTCTAAGAAGTGAAAATGGAGATCTCATAACAGATTTCGTTAAGCTAATACGCAGAATTACGGCAAGTTCTGAAAAAGAACCGTACCTTACCGTGAGTGGCGTTGAGTTACAATCGGATTAGCACTCGTTTGAAATTTCTGATACTGTTCTTCCTGGTAGGATTCAGTTGAAGAAATTAGCCGGCAGTGATTACCTGCGAATGCATTCAAATAGGTTATCGTTCTCACCGCTTCATGGGTTGAATAATAAAATAAAATAAAATAAAATAAAATAAAAGTTTATTATTTAAATGTTAGATTTCTTCTAATTAATATTTTAACTTTTAAAATTATCTCATTATTTTTAAATTTTTTATTTGGCGTATAATAAATCTCAAATATAATTTAAATTATTTATTAAATTTTAATTTTAATTGATGGAATAAATTTATAATTTAATAAAAAAATTATTTTGTTATTATTATAATTTAAGTCGCGTTAGATTGGTTGACTATCTAGTTGACTTTTTAAAATATTAAATGTGATTGAATCGAGCTTTTTTATTTATTCTATTGTTCTTTATTCTCGTTGGATTAGATTAGTTGACTATTTACTTTTTTTAAAGGTCAATAATAATTTAATCGAACATTTTAATTTATTTTATTGTTTAAGTAACGCGTCACGTTCGTTAAATAATGTGGAAGTAATCCATGTAAGATAGGAGCCCAACTATTGAAACCCGAGCATTTTGTGTTTGAATATATATATATATATTATATTTTGGCATTGTTACTCTTAAAACTTTTTTATTTTTTTATTTTTTTATTTTTTTATTTTTTTATTTTTTGGCCCAACCCATTAAATTAATGTAGCCCAAAATATTTGAATACATAGTCTTTTGAATTTTCATTTATATTTAAAATTTATGGGTTATATATATTAAAATATTTCTTAAAACATTTTACAAAAATATTTTTAAAATTCCAATAATATTTTAAAATAAATACTAACCGTTAGAGTACTTTACCTTACCTTATAATTATATGCAGTAAGTCGTTGTTGCATTTTGCTTACATTCTCATATAACACCAATTTCAATTTCTCAAATCTTACTTTCAAAATTTTCTTTCGAAATCTCTCTACCCCGTTTTCTAAAACTTTCTTCTTGAATCGGGGTTAGAGGCTCGAGCATACGTCGCTTAGTCGTAGGCGACGCAAGAACGAATAGGCTTAACTCACTTGCTGCTGAGAAATGAGTGCCGCACAATCGCAAGTCCGCTGCTATCAAAGTGCGATTGTGACAAGTGAGTACTTTTGAACTTTTTAAAAACGTTTACCGAGCATTGATGAAATTATTGAAAGTTCGATAATATTTTTGAAACAATAGCATTTTTTATAATTTACCGTGATACCCTTCAACAACGAGAAGGGTATAATTAAAAACGGCTCACACCGACCCTTAAAATATATATTTAATAATTTTTAGAATATCAAATATAATAATCAAAATATTGCATGGAAAAATAATAATAATATTTTTTTTTTCCAATAAGAAGTTTTTGTGGGATAATTGAAAAAAGAAAATAAAATATGAAGAAGATAAATATAAAAGTCAAAATTAATATTCGCCCAATAAGAAAGTGCCACTTGTCGAAATAAGCTTTAAAATTAATATATAAATCATTTCATTTCTCTCTCTTAGCCACACACTTCTCTCTCCTATCTAAATTATTTCATTTAATTGGAAGACGACGTATAGAATATATGAGACCAGCTCTTCTCAGAAATATCGACGTATGAAAAAGAGTTATACCTCTCGGTTTAATTTCTGTAGCATTACTTGGCATCGAATAAGTAGCTTAACAGGGAGAGTCGAGAGATTCTTAATAAGCTATCAACTTCAATGTTCTACGTCAGGTTCTTGATTTATGGACCTAATTGACCCGCTTCAATTTAGAGCATACTTCTATGCTGTATGAATGGTTGTTGTTTGATTCCCGAGCCTATTTCTTTATTTGAATATGGGTTTTTGAGGTGAGAGAAACCTCGAAGCATTTAAATTGCCCTTTTTAGTGGGCAATCGAGGATCGTCACGAAACCCTAAAATTGATTCTTGGGAAATAATATAGTTAGGGTTTATCTTTCAGTGATTAGTGCTACTTTCGATGACAATGTTCGATAATAACATATTTTTAAAACTCAAATTTGATTTTAGAATTTAGCTACGAATACAATGTTATTTCAAAGACGATTGTAAAGATAATGTAACAGCACGAGCTTAAAAAATCAGAAACTTATCATATAGACTAATCAATATCTCAAGGTTAGAAGGGTATTTTGATAAATTCACATGACCCACTCAAAAAAATTCAAAATTTTCTATATAAAACGAGTCTTGTATAGTATTATACTTCTTTAATTGAAAATGGGTTTATGAGGTGAGAGAAATCTCGAAGCATTTAAATTTCCATTTTCAGTGGGCAATAGTTGATTGTCACAAAACCTTAAAATTGGTCGTTAGGAAATAACCGAGTTAGGATTTATCTCTTCGTGATTAATGCTACTTTCGATAAATATTGGATAACTAGATTTTTTTTTCTTTAATTTTATTATCTATTTTCTAAGAATATCTTCAATATTAGCCGAAATTTAGCTACGAATTCAATGTATTTCATACAGATTAATCGATATCTCGAGATCAGAAGGGTATTTTGGTAAATTCACATGACCCACCAAAAGAAATTTAAATGCGATAGTACGAGATTCATAAAACCAAAAATTTAACCAACGGGGTTGATCAATACCCCAAAATCAAAGGTCATTTTGATAAGTTCACATGACCCAACAAAGAAGAATTCAAATACGATAGCGCAAGCTTCAAAAACCAAAAACTTAACGAGACTAATCGATATCTCGAGATCATGAGGGCATTTTGGTAAAAAATCACATGATCCATCAAAAGGAATTAAAATGCAATAGCATGAGTTTCAAATATCAAAAACTTAATTTACCCAAAGTAATCGACATCCCAAAATTAGAAAGACATTTTGGTAAATTCACATTACCCATCAAAAGAAATTAAGTTGGGATAGCACGAGTCTCAAAAACAAAAAACTTAACTATGGGAAGTAATTGACATCCCAAAATTAGAAGGGCATTTTGGTAAATTCACCTGACACACCAAAACCAAAAGTTTAACGAACAGGGCTAATCAATACCCCAAAATCAAAGGGCATTTTGATAAATTTACATGACCCACCCAGAGGAATTCAAATATGATAACACAAGTGTCAAAAACCAAAAACTTAACTTACGAGGCTAATCGATATCTCGAGATCATAAGGACATTTTTGTAAAATTCACATGACCCATCAAAAGGAATTAAAATGCAATAGCAAGAGTTTCAAAACCCAAAAACTTAACTGACAGAGGTAATCGACGTCCCTAATTCAGAAGGGCATTTTGGTAAATTCGCATGACCCACCAAAAGAAATTCAAATGCGGTAGCACAAGATTCATAAAGCCAAAAATTTAACAAGTGGGGTAATCGATACCCCAAAATCAAAGGGCATTTTAGTAAATTCACATGACCCACCAAGAGAAATTCAGACATGATATAGCACAAGTTTCGAAAACCAAAAACTTAACTTAGGAAGCTAATCGATATCTCGAGATCAGAAGGGCATTTTGGTAAAATCCACATGACCCATCAAAAGGAATTAAAATGCAATATCACCGAGTTTCAAAAATCAAAAACTTAACTTACGAAAGTAATTGACATCCCAAAATGAGAAGGGCATTTTCGTAAACTCACATGACCCACCACCAAAAGAATTCAAGGTTCTCTATATATAATGCAAGCTAGCATCTTACCTTTCTCCCATAATATCCACTTTTCCTCACCAAAACACACACAAACACATTCACCTTCTTCTTCCTCCATAGACAAAAACAGAGCACAGCTTCAATAAAACAGAGCATCTTCAATCTTTCCAACCCAGAAATCGATCAAAACATGGATCAAATCCAAAAGGCAGCCATGGAAGAGCAGAAGAACAACAAGAACATGAACATGAACAAGAACAAGAACACTGATCAAACACTAAAAAAGGTAACAAAATTGTTGTTTTCTCTGTCTCTGTTTTCCTTCCTCTTCGCTCTTCCAATACCCACCTGGCTCCCTTTCCACCTCTTCCATAATTCCCCAAATTCCCGCTTCCATTTCCTCAACCAACCAATCGACAAGAACTCCATGTTCCTCCTCTGCAACGCCCTCCTCGTATTCCTCGCAAATTACTCTGGTCTCTTCAAATCCCTCTCCTCTTCCTCAAGGAGCTTCGACCCCTGTTCCAGACTCTACGATTTCGGGCCTCTGTCGGAGCCAATTACGACGGAGCTGGTTCAGAAACCGCCGCTGATTCCGACAGAAACCGCCGCCGATGAAAAGAACGATGACCCAGATGAAAGAATCGTTTCAGCTCCAGAAAATGGCGAAGAAGACGAGAGCTATGGATTAGCGGCGAGGTTTTTTGCGGCTGAAACAGGGGAAGTTGAGGATACGGCGGCGGCGACGGAGGAGGAGGAAGAAGAAGGGAACGGCGGCGTGCTGAGTGATGAAGAATTGAAGAGAAAGTTTGATGAATTCATTAAGAGAATGAAGGAAGAAATCGTTCTAGACGATGCTACAAGAACCCTTGTGGTGGTTTGATTAGTAATTAATTTTGGGCTAAATTACTTTTAAAAAAAAAAACTCAAAAAAATATTTTTATTCTTTTCAAAATTGGAATATTGCCCTTGACCTCTCGTGAATGTTTCGAAACCGCTTCAGGAGTAGAAATTTCTTAAAATTTTGAATGAAAATCGAGACTTGGAATGGGTGTAGCTGTAACTTGAATAGGTGGGATGATGTTCGGGTTATAATTTACGTTCCTAGTTAAATGCTACACTGTTCCAAGTCATGATTGAAGCGATTAAGAAGGTTAAAGGGTAATATTGTAATTTTCAAAATAATAAGAATATTTGTTTAAACAAATGACGATGTTTAGGGGTATTTTGGTAATTTAGCCTTAATTTTATTAAAACTATAAGGTTAAATATATGATGATATATGATGCCTAAAAAAAGGCTTGTAATGTATATTTTTATTTCCTTATTCATCCTATTTTGTTGGTTGGATAATTATTTAGTTTTTATTATTTTTTTATTTTTTTCTGATTAAAAATTAAATTATTAACTAAATTCTAAAATTAATATATAATATATATATTGTTTTTAAAATTTGGCTAACATTCATTAAAAAAAAAAAAACTTTATAAATTATTCATATATTAACTAAATCGTATTATTACTTATCGTCAATTAATATCTGTACAACAGATCATGGTTAACCAGTTAAATTCACGATTTTCAAAATGATATTTGATATTTTATGTACTGAACTATGCTCAAATTGATTTCTTTTAAGACGTACGAATAGAAACTATAAAACTATTTATAATATTTATTTTAAATTATTTAAAAAATATGTTGAACAATCGAATATATATATATATATTTATATGCACGATTTGATAAAAAGGGTATTAATAAGTTTTTTGAGACTCGATCTGTATACCGTATATACGAGATCGAGAGAGTTCTAAAAATTTTAAATTAAGTCACGTTATCAATTATCATTATAAATTATCACGTAATTTTCTTTTTCTTTGTCTTATCCTTTCGAGTTAGATCCTTCAAAGCTAAGGATGAATTTTTGTAGTCTCTCTCTTGGGGAAGAATCTAATTCTTCTTTTTATATATATATATATATATATATATATATATATATATATATATATATATATATATATATAAAGGAATATTAAAATAAAAAAGTTTAATATTATGTTATCATCTCCTACTAAGTGTGTTTTAAAAATCGTGAGGCTGATGACGTTACATAACAAGCTAAAGCAGACTATATCTACTAGTAATGGGTTTGAACTGTTACAAATGGTATTAGAGCCAGACATTGGGTACAGTGCCAGTGAGGATGTTGGACCACCCAACATTCCTTATAGTAAATAAACCTCTCGTTAACAAACGTGTTTTAGAAACCGTGAGGCTGATGACGCTTGAGTTGTTACAAATGGTATCAGAGCCAGAAACCGAGCATTGTGTCAGTGAGAACGTTGGGACACCCAACATTCTTATAAGGGTGTAGAAACCTCTCGTTTTAAAAACATGAGACTAGTGACAATATATAACGAGCAAAAGCAGACAATATCGACTAGCGGTGGGTTTGGGCGCTTATATAACGACAGTAGCATCCACCTGTAACGTGTGGAAGAGTAAAGATGCTTAAGTAGAAATGACGAAAGGAGACTCCTTGCTTTAACGAGATTGTTACAAACTTACTAAATGCCTCGATTCTCCCGAAAGGTTAGCTAAGCTAATAAATAGTCGATTTTTTCTGAATTATACGAATCCAAAATTCTCGACCTCGACTAAAACGGAAAATATTTTAAAAATAAAAATAAGAAAAAGGAGAAATTGACATGAAATTGACACAATATTCAGATTCTTGAAGGGGAAAAAAAGAGAAGCATTTGGAGTGAATATTTTGAAGAGTCAACATCCAAATATGCTATTTGATGAATATGTTCAATAACTTTATAATTTCTCACCCTTTAGTGGAAATTAAATTTCATCAATTATTATGGAAGCTAATATTATTTACTATATAGTTTTAATCATGACACGTTAATAAAAATATCCCTAAATTTTATATTTTGTCTAAGAAATATTATAAAGTTTCTGTTAGGATCGCTCAACAACGCACACACTCGATCTAGATGAACACAAAAAACATGATAGAAAAATGCAAGAAGAATATTGGCTAAAGATTTATAATAAGAGAAAATACAGAGAATACATTATTTATATATATTTATATATATATATATACACACACATATATATATATACACATACACATATATATATACACATACACATATATATATATACACACACATATACATCTATATATATACACATATATAGCTTTACCAAATAGAACCATCTACTATATATAACTATCTACCATATATAACTTTACTAGCTTGTTAATATACGTATTTACAATTCATTTATCAAATATAACTTTACTATGCTCCATAACCTATCAATTTCAACAATATTCTTAAATTTTTAATTAAAAAATATTTTTACAGTTAATTTTAGATTTAAATTTTTAGCAATTTATTTTTAAAATACCCCACTTTTAATATTGTTAAAAAAAATTAATTTAAAAATACCATTATCGTTAGAATTATATTTAGAAATTATACATAAAATTTTAAAAGTAACGTATTCTAACTTTATAAAAAAAAAAATTACGGTTAATATATGGACGAAAACTATTTATCCATATTTCCTAAATTATCTTCAAATTTTTTAATGTTACTTTTGAAAGTACATGAATATTTTGAAAACGTGGTACCAATTTTTTAGAATATTAATGGATTTTTTTTTAAAATCAGATATTTTTTAGATCATTTTGAAAGTTAAAAGAGTATTTTTGAAATAAAGTATTAACTAATTTCATCGAAAACCAGCAGTAAGATTATTATTTTTAATTTATTTTAATGTTTACGAGTATTTTTTAATTTTTAAAATTTTTTAAAAGTATTATTATAACTTTTGAAAGTTTTAGTGGTATTTTTTTTTAAAGTTAAAACTGGAGAGTATTTTTATTAATTATTATGAGACATTTCATACGAAGTAGATCAATTTTCAATTTTATGTACGAACATGTCTAGTGTCACAATTGCACTTTTGTGACAGTTAGACAGCGATTATGTGACACTTGTTCTAACCCGACGATCAAGTCAGCTATATGAAAACTGTAAGTCATAGACAATTTTGATGTATGATCGAGCCTCAGTCATGTTCGAGAGAAAGTGAACTGAAAATAGTTTGTAATAAGGTAATGTGACTAAAAGCAAATGAGTAACAACCACACCTTTGTTACCATATAACTTAGGTAGTAAGAATTGACGACTAGTCACATCTTCCTATAGTACATTTTGAGACATTTTAACCCTAACGAATGTAGACATAATTTTAGTGCAAGGTCATACATTCCCAAAATGACACAACATGAACGTAAGTAAAAGGGGTTTAGAACAGGTATGCTACCACGAACAAGCATGACATAGACATCCGACATGATTATAGATAACACGCCTTGGACAAGCATGACATAGACTTCCGACATACGATTAACAACACGTCTTGGACAAGCATGACTGTAACATTCAATAGTAATAGTAAAAAAAAACAAAAAGATTGTCTTCTAGTAGTGAAAAATATAGGGAAAAGAAGAGGATTCTTGCCACACATGTGGCAAAAGAATAAAAAATGGTCATTTTCACAACCTATATATATATATATATTATATATATATATAAAAGTAGGTTCTATTCCAAAAGTGCCCTCTCTTCCATCCTCAAAGAAAGTTGATTTTTAAAATATGTTAGATTTTATTATTTTTCTTTTTATAATCTCTACTTCAACCCATTTGGAAGGGTAAAAATGCAAGAAATTAGTATTTTTTTTTAATAAAAATAAATTAAGATACTTCGATGATCTAGTAGCTACTTGAAATTTTAGTTTGTTCGAGAACTTTTGGCATGTGCTATGTGAGAATGTATTAGAATATTTTCTTTTTGGGAGAGCATCGATCTATTTAGAATAATCTTTTATGTGTTTAAAGAGTAATGTAAAATAAAAAAGTGCGTTTAAATAATATTATTAAACTAAAAAAAAGTTCAAATTAAAAATTAAAAAAAAGTTTAAAATACCATTACCATTAATTTTGGAAGTAAACGGTTAATATTTTGTTTAAAAAATAACAGTTCAAAATTGTTTAAAAAATACCCTCAAATTTTCAAAAGTTTTCTAATAACCTTTTTAAACTTTTTTAAAACTAATAGACTTTTAAAGGTACAATTAAAAATGGAGATAATTTATGAGATGTCTATAGACAATGTAACAAAATTCCATATTGTCCTCTTTAAGTTTTCCCTTTCGGGCTCCACACCCTTATAATGGGTGTTTTGTTCTCCTCCCCAACCAATGGGGGGCTTCACAATCCACCCCCCTTCGGGGCCTAGCGTCCTCGTTGGTACTCATTCATTTCTCCCATCGATGTGAGACCACCACCAAAACCACCCCCCTTTGGGGCCTAGCGTTTTTACTGGCACACCGCCTCGTGTCTACCCCTTTTGGGGAACAGTGAGAAGGCTGACATTGTCCGGTGTCTAGCTCTAATACCATTTGTAACGACCTAGATCCACTGCCAGTAGATATTGTCCTCTTTGGGCTTTCCTCTCAAAGCTTTAAAACGCGTCTGCTAGGAGAAGGTTTCCACACCCTTACTTAATAGAGGACGTTTTTGTTCTCCTTCCCAACCCATGCAGGATATCACAAACAATTTTTATCCATATATTGACGGTAAAACTTTTTTTTAATAAAAATGAAGAGTATTAATGTTACCTTCAAAATTTTATGAGTTTTTTTTAAATACATAATATTTTTTAATTTTAAAAAAATTTGAAGGGAATACAGAAACTTTTTAGAATTTTAGAATGGAATACTATTTTTGAAATAAAATATTAATTATATTTTAAATTTTAAGAATATTATTAAAATATAATTTTATTATTATTATTAATTAAGGTCAGAATTAATGAGAGATAAACAATTGAATGGTGAAAATCAAGACCTCCACTAATAAGGAAATGAAAATCCCTTTCTTGGGGGGAAACAAATCTTTCATTAATCACATAATTCAATTTGTGGTTGTCTCCCAAAGAATGAAACCTTGACCCACATCAGAACCATCTTCTACCCTCTTCTAATTAATGTTATTAAATGTATAACCAAAAGCCTTGTTGGATGATAGAAGTCCCACCTCGACTAATTTAGGGTGGGTTTATAAGTGACTAATTTAGGGTGTGATCATGGGTTTATAAGTGAGGAATACTAACTCCATTAGTATGAGGCCTTTTGGGGAAGCCCAAAGCAAAGCCATGAGAGCTTATGCTCAAAGTGGACAATATCATACCATTGTGGAGAGTCGTGTTCGCCTAACAGGCCTAAGTCTAG